ACTTTTTCCTATTGTGTTGTAAATGTTAAACGAATTGTATCCTGACAAGACGAATAAAAATAAGAAATACAATTTTTGTACAACATTTTTATTTTCTACTGTTAATAGTAATTTATCTTCTGTTTTCTGGTTAAAATAGTTATATGAGTCATCTTATCCTACTAAATATTCACTAAAATATTCGCCTCATCATCATGTAAGAATCAAGTGGGTTGTTTTTTTTTTTCTCCTTCCTTTATTAGGATTAGCAACAAGTATACAAAAATATACAACCCTAGTAACAACAAAATCAAGTAAATAAACAGATCCACGCGATGTTCTCGCTGAGCTCAGCGCCGCAGGAACCGCAATCGAGCCGGAATCACGGATTCGAGACGCGACCAAAACACCGCGAGGGGGTGGGGTTTCATCGAGAACTTTAAACGAGCGACCGTGTTTGTACACAAAAATCGGGATTAAAACAACGTAAATATACAGAACTAAAGCGAACAGATCGAAAACACCATTATAAGTTATTAAATGTGTCATTTAATGAATGATATCCCCCCCCTCCCCCCAACTCAAGCGATAATGGTATGTCCTGTGGCATATTGAAGAGTGTAAACATTACGTGATCCGTATCATGCGTCCGTTTACTTCTACTTTACTCTGGACGTGTTCGGAGCGGAAGCGGGTTTAGCCGCGGGACTGGCGGGGTTTTGGGTGTTTGTTTTGGACTGCTGCCGCCAGCTGCGTGTTCTTACCTCCATACTCCACACGCCTTCTCTCTGTGTGTGTCTCCGAGCTAAGCGATTCTCGCAGAAAAAACCGCCAACGGATCGCGCACCATGATCTTCCGGGTTGGAGATGAGCGGATGTGACGCGGCGGGCTTATAAAATCAAATATTCAAAGAGTGGCAGAAGAAGTGGGACATAGCCGATACAGGAAAGTTTTATTATCAAATTAATTCATCAGTTAAAGAAGTATACGATTTTGGAAGATGTAGGAAAGATGAGGTGAATTTAAATAGATTACAATGTGGGCACACAGGACTAAATGCATCACTATACAAAATAGGTAAACGTATTACAGGTAAATGTGCTTTTTGTGGAGTAATAGAAACCGTTGAACATGTGATATTAAAATGTGGGAAATATAATATAGAGAGAATTAAAATGATGAACTTAAATGGTAATAATAAAGAAAAAAAGAAGATTAATTGGCCTGAGAGCGGGAACGAGACATCACGGTGGTCGGCGTGTTCGCTGCTCCATCAGCTAAGCTGCGTTCAGTATCAGATTCTGATGTAATTGTCAGAATCTGTATTTATATCAGTATTTGCACCGCATTTTATACTGCCTCTCGAGCTCGTCAGTATTTGCATGCGATTTGCATACTTCGCGTCAATTGGCCAGTCAGTTGGACTGGCGGGAGCCAATAGGACTTCAGGAAAAGTTGGAAAGGAAGGAGTTCCCATAACGGAGAAATATCTCCGTGATGTCTCGTTCCTGCTCTCAGGGAACCGAGGTTACGATAGTAACCAGAGCGTTCTTCATCTTCAGCCCGCGTTAAAAACATCTGCCATCCTCCACATCTTCAACCAAGCCTGTATTTCCCAACATCAGTCCATCAGGAGAAGCACAACCCTTTAAACATCAAACCAGTGACTCTGGTTAACTCATGTGAGTAGAGACTCGAACACGCTCAGATTCATACAGCAGCATGTCGTTGAAATACACAGTAACTCATTATATTATACTTCACTGATGTGATGTGATGAATTGTGTTGTTGTGTATGGCCTGTGTTTCTAGGTTCACACCAAGAGCAATAACTATAACAACGAAGCTTTGAAAGTCACTTAAGGAATGAATGAATGAATAGTGCAGGAACATTAGTACAATTAAGTTTAATAAAATATAAATATTATTTAATTTCTCTGTTATTTATTAGTATTCTATGTGTTTAGTATATAATATAACATATGTGACCCTGAACTACAAATGATTTTTATGAAATTGAGATTTCAATATATATATATACATAGCCTATATACATAAATAATCTTTCCATTGATGTATGGTTTGTTAGGATAGGACAATATTTGAAAATCTGGAATCTGAGGGTGCAAAAAAATCAAAATACTGAGAAAATCATCTTTAAAGTTGTCCAAATGAAGTTCTTCATATGAGAAAACACATGCGCAACTTACTTTTTAATTTTTACATTCTAACTCTAGTAAAAAAGTAATATATTTAAAGTACATTTATTTCATACGAATTGTAGTTAAACTCTTTACTGACAGATAACTAGACGTACAAGACTTACTGATATAAAAATTATAATTAAACTTTATTTGGCGTATTGCTTGTGCACAATGCACATTTCTTAATATTAAGCCTAAAATGTCTTTTAATGTCACTTTTGATGATAATTGTATAATATCCGTTTTTAAATGCAAAACACTTAAAGTGTACCAGTTGCAGTAGTTCCACTTTAGCACAGTCAAATATACTTCAGTATATCTTTAGTTGCAGTAAGTCTTTGGTTTTTCCAATATACAAAGCTTAAAATTACCCAAATATACAGTTTTAAATACGCAAACAGATCCTTCGGACTTCATTATAAAAAAAATAAAATACATACTGTATATATATATATATATAGGCATTTGTACACATAGTAGTAGTGGTATAGTCTCACAGTATCATTACCAGTGCAGAGACTTGCACGAAAACAGCACAAATTAAAAGTAACACTCAAGAAAGAAATGATAAAGTACTGAGGGACACCCACCAGCGCCCCCATCAGGCCAGACAGATCATCTGCGCTCAACAACCCATCCTGGTCTGCGTTGTACCACTGCGAACAGACACGGGCAAAAAAAAACTCTCTTGAGGGATGCATTTAATTATCCGTAAGTCTAAAACTAACTTTTTGCCAAACCTGCCAATGGTGGTGGCTTGAGAAACGTTATATCTTTAGTTGCACTACTTCCGCACAATTAAAGTGCATTAAGTGCAAAATTAGTTGTTCCAATTTAGCAGACTTTAAGTTTACCAGATTAGTAGTATACTATACTAAAAGTACAATTGCAGGGTATTTTATTAAGTACATACGTATGAAAATATATTTGTAGTATGCTTAGCATGAAATAAATGCATTTCAAATACATTTAAGTGTATTACCTGTAAGAAAACAGGTAAAAGATGTAGAAAATACTCACAGGTCATGGACGCTCTGGAGTCAAAGGTCACTGATGGGTCAGAGGTCACGGATGACGAGGATGTGTGTGCGCTGTTCCTCAGCGACAGCGAATCTATGACCGAGGTAAATTAAAACACACTAATGAAGCGTCTTGCCCCGGAGCCTTGTTTATCATTTATGCTGCTTTTAATCTGTCTTTCAGGCTGGTTTCGACATGGACTACATCAGCTCGCTGCTCTCCTCAGACCAGAACATCTCAGACGTCTTTAAGGATAATCCTGAGCCAGTCGCTGGATGCTCAGACTGGACTCACACCAAGAGTTTGCCTCCGTCTGATGCCCAACATGATTTAAGCCCCTTTAATGGCACAAATATCCTCTTATCTGAAGATCCCATGATGGAAAACATATTAGCGCCATTTCAGGATAACGTCGAAGACCAACATGTGTTTCACATGTTTACTGAACCTCTGCAAGCGAATCCTGAGCGCCAAAGTTCCCAAACAGATCTAAACGCTTCAGTCCAAGAAACTCTTCAAGACTTTGGTCCAGAAGCTGATGGAAACCAAAAACACGAGACTTTGTATGAACTTGATTCTGCCACTCAATCCAGCTGCTTCTGTCTTCAAAACTACAAATCCCATCATGCATCATTCCCTCATACCGTAATGCATGACCCAGAACCACCAGAAACCCTCGTGGATGGTGGACTGGAGAATGATGGAGAGGAAAACATGGCAGACGGACCAAAAACTGAGAAATATATGAACGAAGGAAGTGCAAAAGGCAACCATAAAACTGATTTGGACATTCCCAACGATTCACAGAGAACGAGAAATGTTTGTAATAACCAGACGAACCTGAAGGAATCGCCCAAGATTGACCAAACTGAGGAAAATAATGCGAACAAAAATAAAAAACACAAGAGACGACATAGAAGACGAAAGATGGCGCTGCCCGTCGCGAGAACGCCACCTAAATTGGACGATAAAGACGTTAAAACGGCTAAATACCAACCTGGAAAGACTCAACGAAAATCAGCAAACGCAACGAAGCATGAAGCGAGAGAACAAGAAACTGATTTAATCAAAATTAACGCGAAAAGAGTAGAATTACAGAACAGAAGCGAGGCGACGTCCTCAAGGCGCGCAAACTTACGCCAACAGATCAGGAAAATCAGAGGAGAACATGTGGACAATGAAGTCGAGAGACGTCAAAGGCTGATAAAAACGGTCAGACGAGTTGGAAAGCAACGAACGACGAAGACTGAAAGAGACGGTGGAAAAACATATCGGAGGACGTCCGGAAAAACAAGGAAACTTGTCGGTCGAAGAGGATTGTGGTGATTTTCATCGCGAGACAGAAGCGAAGAGAGACGCGACCAAAACTCAGTGTACGACAAATGTTTCAGAAAAGATGGATGAAATGAGCACTTGAGGCATAATAAACCATATAAACAAACCACAAAAAACATCACGTCATTATTTAAGAATTTTAATATGTTAAAGTATAAAATATGACACTTCGGCAAAAATCCTTCGCAGTAAGTCTTTGGTTTTTCCAATATACAAAGCTTAAAATTACCCAAATATACAGTTTTAAATACGCAAACAGATCCTTCGGACTTCATTATAAAAAAAATAAAATACATACTGTATATATATATATATATAGGCATTTGTACACATAGTAGTAGTGGTATAGTCTCACAGTATCATTACCAGTGCAGAGACTTGCACGAAAACAGCACAAATTAAAAGTAACACTCAAGAAAGAAATGATAAAGTACTGAGGGACACCCACCAGCGCCCCCATCAGGCCAGACAGATCATCTGCGCTCAACAACCCATCCTGGTCTGCGTTGTACCACTGCGAACAGACACGGGCAAAAAAAAACTCTCTTGAGGGATGCATTTAATTATCCGTAAGTCTAAAACTAACTTTTTGCCAAACCTGCCAATGGTGGTGGCTTGAGAAACGTTATCAGCCATTCATTGGAAAACAGGCTAAATGGATTGGGGAAACAAATCTAATTGCAATTGCAATTTATAATGTGATTTAAAAATAAATGAATAACCCAACAATCTAATTGAGATTCTTATATTACATTAACTTTTTATTAAACTATTTATTAAACAAGTAAATAGATCAATATATAAAAAATTATATACTTATTACAACAAACAGAAATATGAGCAATATGAAATTCCTAAAATAGTCTAACAGACAACAAAGGCAACAAAATAAAGGCTACATTTTGTAATTTATTTGTAGATGTTACAAAGCTAGCTAGCTAGTTAGTCTAATTAGCATACCCATACCTTTCATTTAAATTTTGTGCATACAGTGGATGAATGCTAGATTATAGTCTTGTCACTGTCAACTATGCCAAGTAAATACAGTTTTCCATTCTATGGCACCTTTAAACAAACTTTATTAATTTGAAGCAAACTACAAAACAAAACAACACACATCAGCATCACTACAAATCATCAGTATAACCTAATTATAAGCATAGGTGGGGTTAAACTGTTCTTGTTAAACACACTGTGTGTGTGTGTGCGCGTGTGTGTGTGTGTGTGTGAGCACGTCACATGACCATCCCTCCGCCCATGATCTCCAGTCTCTGTGTAGAAGACAAACACAAACGAGTGAGAAGAATGTGAAAGCACACACAAACACGAGCTCATGAATTATTCACGCACCTGAGGCGGCTCTATGAACGCCAGCCAATCAGACGAGTGCGTCGGGAGGAGCCCCATTGATTGACACTTGTAGATGGCCAGTGCGGATCCCAGCAGATTCCCGATTAGATACACCAGACCCTGCAGCCACTGCTGACTGGAGCTCTCCAACAGCTTAAACGCTTCACACACGCACACACACACGAGAGCCTGTCGTTTATGATGAGCGTGTGTGTGAGTGTGTGTGTGTGAGTGTGTCTCCCAACAGCTTAAATGCTTCACACACACACATGAGAGCCTGTCGTTTATGATGAGTGTGTGAGAGTGTGTATGGAGATGGTGGTTCCAGACATGTACATGATGAAGAGGTTCATGGGAATCTGCTTCAGCGCACCCAGCGCCACGTCCCAGCGCCTCTACACACACACACACACACACACACACACACGCACGCACAGAGACACACACAGTCAGAGCAGTTTACATTAAACAAATGCACTTACATTTAATTCCAGTAACATTTTTTATTCTTTAATATTTTATATTTTGAAGGGATTTTTTTTTCTGTACTGGACAATATTCACCTCCAAATTACAAACCATTTATTTACATTCATTTTATTATTCTATTCAATAATACAAAAGTAGTACTTAATATGAAATAAAAATAGCAATTTTTTATTATTTAAAATCCAATGCATGGAAAGCAAATTAATGTCATCAGATGGGAGAGAAAAAAAATAAATAAATAATATATATATATATATATATATTAAAACAGCCTTTTACAGCCTTTATGTTGTCTCCCAAATCTCTGGCCTTTGTCACATCTATAAAGCATGAGTATTTCCCTCATCTAAGATATAAAACACCTTTAGACTGATACTCTTCTGACGTCTGGACTCTATTTTCAGGGTTTAGAAAAATATAACGAGACGCTTCTGAACACATTCTGTGAGAATCTATGTTTCAGGTTTTGTCCGTAACGCTGGATTTGCAAAATGATGCTAATCTTAGAAATACTTGCTTTTTTTGTACAAAGTTGTGTTGGTAGTTTTTGTGAATGTTCATGAAATAGTGATTAAATTGTGTGCTCCACATGATTGCGAGGTTTCATTTACTTTTTTATATGAAGAGATATAATATATTGGTCGGAACTGAGTTCAGTGTATTGCTCCGGCCCGCTGCCTTTAACTAGAATAACCCTGATTTGCTCCATTCTGATGAAGTGTTGAGAGAGTTTGGTGTAGTATTTCAGAGGTTAGAGCGTCACCTTCTCCACCAGGTTGCGGTCGGCCTCCTGCACGCTGGTGTCCGGGACCGGTTTATCCGAGTATCCCACCGGATACATGACGTCTCCGTCCTTGCTCTGCCTGTCGCCGCGGTTCCTGCTGAGAAGCACAGAGAAGCCCGTCAGCGCTGCTTGCTAACGAGGTTAACGAGGCCGAACGTGATGCAGCACCTGCTGTTGCCCAGGCTCAGCTCCAGAGACCACTTCATCCTCTTGACCGTGGCTCCGCCCCTCGCGGCCAGAGCCCCGCCCCCCGGTGACGTCATCGCGCCTCAGTGCAGCTGAACACAAACACATCAGAAGGCTTTAATATCGAGTTATTGTTACACGAAGTGTCCTCAGATCCACACCGCGGCTTCTTGAATTCTCTCAGTCTTTTGTTGATTTGTCAGGTGTCTTTCAGTGAAGATAAATGAAATTAATTAATGCGTTATGCCTTCATCTGAAAACCTGAACATTTTAAACACACAACAAAGAATTTCTGAGGGGGAAAAAAAACATTTTACAAAGAACAATTTTGAATAAATCAAGTTGTTTTCATGCATTCAAATAACTACACATGCTAAAACACAGAATTTGATAACAATAAAATATATGGTGAGAAAAAATAAAACATCATGGGGCCCAAAACATGTTTTTTTTGTTTGTTAAACTTTTAATAACTTGATGTTTCATGATTTTAATTCATTAGACATGCTTATTGATTAATAACTTTTAATTTAACCATTAAAAATTTGGAGGGGGAAAAAAAACATTTTACAAAGAACAATTTTGAATAAATCAAGTTGTTTTCATGAAAAAAAATAACTGCACATGCTAAAACACAGAATTTGATAACAATAAAATATATGGTGAGAAAAAATAAAACATCATGGGGCCCAAAACATGTATTTTTTTTTTGTTAAACTTTTAATAAATTGATGTTTCATGATTTTAATTCATTAGACATGCTTATTGATTAATAACTTTTAATTTAACCATTAAAAATTAGTCTAGAAAAAAATTTAAACTGAAAACAAACGGAATTTGGGGGAAAATAACAGATTTCATCCAGAATTCAAGACGGTTCACTTCATATTTACATATTCTGATCTGAATATGTAAGATTTTAATGTTTTTAATATTGATTTATTATTACACGAAGTGTCTAAATCCTCAAATAAACAGCAGCTTCTTTAATTCTCTCAGGTTTTCGTTGTTTTTAATGTATTTTAATGTATTATATTAAAATTGCGTCTTTATTTATTACACAGTGAATCTGTAAACACGGACAGAACGGAGGTTTTCTCGACCCAACTGGACATTTATGAAACAGTAATGATTAAGGACTAATAAACCCTAGCATTTTCACACACATTAATGTCGGAGTATTTGTGTGCGTTTCGATGATCGCCTCACCGTTCGACGCGCTTCGATCAGCCGTTAATCACACGAGAAGGACGAATAATTTTTCCTTTGCTAAATTAAGGAAACTTTGCTTCCTTTGCTCCTGTGAACAAACGTTGGTTTTCACGAGACTCACCGGCGCATGCGCAACGCTGACCTCATACGTCATCCGCCCGGAACTGCTTCCATTTTACAACAGTGAGCACAAGCTACATTAAAGTGATTACTACGTTTTGAATATGGATATTTTTCTTACAAAAACGCATCGATTCGCTACAGGAGGCCTTTGTTCACCACCCGGAGCCCGGCACCACGAGCCAGCTCCCAGGAGAATGCAACACTTCTAGTAGAGTGAGCTTGCAACCTGAGCGGGCAGGGCACACCCTGTGCCTGATAAGCCAGGGTGATGGCATCCACTATGCAGTGGGCCATCCTCTGCTTAGAGACGGCCTTCCCCTTCTGCCGGCCTTCGTAACAGACAAAGAGCTGGTCTGAGGTCTTAAAGCTTTGTGTCCGGTCTACGTACAATCGCCAGTAGGACTGCGATCTCCGCACGCAAGAAAGGAGCATCGTCCGCCTTCACTGCCATCAAGCAGATGCCACTGAACTTGGGGGGACGCCGGGCGAACTGAATCGCATAGCCGAGGTTGATGGTCCGCAGAAGCCAGCGTCTCGCCGTCCCGGGCTGGGTAGCGCTAGCCAGGCACCCAGATACCGTGCAAGCGGGACCAGTGGGACCACCACTGTACCCGCAATGGGGCAGCGAGATGGAATGCAGAGACCCAACTCGGGCGGCTCGTGAGCGGACCGAAGAGGGGTCTGAGTGTGTGGTGCAACACTTACCTGGTTCCACGGTTTGGCAGAGGGTGCGTGAGTAGGGCCTTTGATCCGCTCTCTACCCAACAAAACGGACGAATTCCTTCTGCTCTCCCGGTCAAATAAGGATTTCTCACACTCTGCTACTCTGTGTTTCACGGAAACCTTGCTGAATGACGCCATACCGGACAGCGCGTTAAATCTGCCGGACTTTCAGCTGTTCAGAGTGGACATAACAGGCCAAATACACACTGGAAAAAGGAGATCAGAGTGGCAAAGAGAAATTATTCTGAAAAACTTAGGACTCAGTTCACTTCCAGCGATTCAGCATCAGTGTGGAAAAGTCTGAAAGAGATCACCAACTACAAGACCCCATCCCCCAGCCCTGTGGAGAACCAACAAGTGGCAGACGATCTGAATGAGTTCTACTGCAGGTTTGAAAAAACACCCCACACCCGCCCTGAACACCTCTCCACACAACCATTCACACCTCCTGCAACCCCCCTCTCCCCCACACCTGCACCTCAAATCAGTGAAGATTAAAGTAGAAATATTAAATGATTATTGTAATATACCTGCACATACAATTGTCAATTTATATATTGTTATTCCTTATTTACTTGTTCTATTTTTTATTCTTCTTTTATTATCTGTGTTTTTTGTTCTGTCGCTGTCATTCTGTTGCACTGCGGAAGCTTCTGTCATGAAAACAAATTCCTCGTATGTGAAAACATACCTGGCAATAAAGCTCATTCTGATTCTGATTCTGATTCTGATGACGCTCTCTAACCGCCAGCTGCTGCCTGCTGGCGAGAGAGGAGGATGAGTGTGGTCCAGTGTTGGTCCGTCCGCGACTCTCCGTGGCCCTCTTGGATCCAGAGACAGAGAAAACCGCTCTCTCATAGAGATTTTTGGAAACCAGATTCTCCACCCGGCCCTCCTCCGGGGGAGGGAGAGGGGCATTCACCATCCCCCAAAGACCAGCTCTCTCTCTGGGTCGCCCGTCCCGGGGCCTCTTGCTCTTCCGCTCAGGTTCTGCCAGGTTTTACGGAGGCCTGGACGAGCGGGGCTGCCTGCTTACACCCAGCTCAATGGCGCCGCTTGCTCGAGGCTGCTGCGGATGCGGCGAGGGAGCGGGGGCGGACGCAGGGGGGCACCCTCAGCGACGAGCAGGCTGGGGCACTGCAGCTGCACGCAGTCACAGGCAGCAGCTGCACGCAGTCTTAGGACACAACTGCATCGCTACCGACCGCTCCACTTAGGGGGGATCGCCGTATACTCCTTGGCTGCACCCCCGTCAAGGGTGGTGAGGGAGGAGGAACCAGCAGGTCGGTTTCTGGCAGCAAAAGGTGACGTCCATAACCTGGTGAGCTCCTCATGCACCTCCGGGAAGAAAGGCACTGGGGCGGGGCGCTGAGCCAGCCCCAGCGCGAGCCACCCCGAGAAACCAATCATCCAACCTCGAGGGCTCGGGACGAGGTGGAGGTTTCCACTCGAGCCCTACCCTCTCGGCGGCCCGGGAATGCATAGCCGACATCTCTGGATCTGCTTCAGGCGTTGCCACCATCCCGGAGGGCGGCAGCGCAGCCGAATCTTCCTCTCCAGAGAGCTCTCCCTCTGATGCAGTGATCGACATCCAGTCGTCGGGAGGAGCACCAAAGGATACCACTGGTACGCTCTTTGAAGAGGGCCCAGCGCGTTCCTTTGGTGGCTCAACTGGTTGCGAAGCGCTAGAGGAGGAAATAAGCTCTGTCAGGGAAATGCTCTTTTAGGTGCTGAGACGCACAGGGGAATCGGCCGTTTGCAGCACAACAGGGGGTAGTGCAGCCTGAAGTGCGCAACCCACTCGACACTGGAACGACCACCGCTGAAGCGCTGTCCACCAACACAAGAAGCTCCCTAGAGCGCGTTGAACTCGTCGTCACAAACTAAGATATTGGTAGGAGCAGATCGATGTTATCGCTCGGCTCCGAAGCGAAAAGCTGGTATGCGTTGCACCGGCTGCCTTTTTATGCTCACGCTGTGATCAGCGGCAGCTGGATGCAATTATCGCATGCCAATGTTCATTGGCTCATTTAGTTTACACTCGAAGTAGATTGGTCTCTCGAAGCGAGATCCCAATTCGTCAGTCATCCGACGTGACGTAGAGAGTGACCGACTGAAAGGGAACCACATTACGAAGCCAAAAGATGAGTGCAAAAAGTAGCAAAAAAATGAAATATATTTACATGTCACACAAGTTATTATTTTTTTATTATTTTGTTATTATTATTATTACTGTTGTTGTTCTTGTTATTATTAGTAGTAGTATATTTCAGTCGCCAATGTTTCTCAGGGGAATGTTTGAAAAAAAAAGGATTTAGGTCATAATAAAGTATAATTTTAATTTATCATATTTTCTCCATCACCACATCTTTTTAGGGGCTCCATACGTTATGAACTAAACATTTTTTTAAGAGTCTACTTTTTTATTTTATTGTTAGTTATCCATTTTATTAGTCACAAAATGGTTAAATATTAAACACAACAAACAACTTTTTTATGAAACATTATACATTTTAGACATGATATTATACACTTACTTTTCACATTAAACATACAAAACATTAAATAAATATTAACAGCCACTAATAAATAAGTGCACAAGTTAAGGAAAATACTAGAAATTCAATATAAAACTACAGTCACGTGGGACTTTGGAAATTTAGAAAAGTTGGCAACTTTGCATTGTTTAAAACAACAGATTAACTTCACAAAGAAGAAACTTCTTGAAGAAATCATTTTTAAAAAGTACTAGAATTGGTTAAATCTAAATGCTAACTAGTTCAGTTCTTTCGTGGCATTCGTAGCAGACAGAGGATGTTTGGTGAGTGTCCGCAGAGGACCTTAGTGAAACACTCATCACAGTCTCAGTCTGTGTCAGATGGGTGTTAAAAGCGTTCTGTGGTCACTGCACTGGATGCTCGGTGTTGATGAAGTACGTGCTCAGCTGTCCTTTGCCCTTCACGTGGATCACTCCTCTCAGAGTTACGCTGTAGTCCAGCATTTGAGCCACCTGCGCCGTCTCCTCTGTCACCTGAGAACACAACACATACACATACTGAAGTGAGATCAAGTGGAGCTGTATTTGTCTGACCCAACTAATCAACTGACTGCCAGTTCCCTAGTGAGTTTCCACTCATGATGCTGGGGCTCACACTAATTCAACCCCAAACATGCTATTTTAATCATATGGATTTAGAAGGCTTGATAGGGATCACTAATGGGATCAGTTGCAAATCTTTTGCATTTCCCTGAGAAATGTTGTGTTCCGTCACAAAAATCACTGAAACAAACAAATACAAATTTCTCAGAGAATGCAAAATTTTGGCGAGCAAATAATACAGAACACTATATTTGTGAGCAAATGCAAATTTCTCTGGAAAAGCAAAACATGTGCAAATAGAGTAAATTTCACAGGGAACCCAAACGTTTTGTGAGCAAATGCAAATTTCTCTGGAATGCAATTTGCGAGCGAATCAAATTTTTTGGGGGGAAATGTGAAATATTTGTGAAAAATGCTCATTTCTCAGTTTTGTGAGCAAACACAACAACATTTCCCATACCATATTAATCAGGATGACATACAATGCTGGTTTTTGACATACAATGCTTTGATTTTTTCTAAAAATCAAGATATTTATTTTAATTCACCCCGTCAAACTGCTTTTTTGTTGTTGTTTTTGTCTCGAAAATCCTAGACGTATGATGAAGCCTCATTATAAAAGTGTGAATTCTAAAGAGTAAATGAATAAAACTTAATAATTTCATGGGCATTTTTATGTCAAGCTCTAAAAAGGTAGAAGGTTAGAAGGTAAAACATTAAATGCAGTTTAACCAAATGACACAAGTCAGTTGTTATAGTATAAGAGAGTTCAGGTTGGCGTCAGAAATGCTTTCTTAAATGACAGCACAGACAGACTGATATTGTGATGTTAAAGGTGCATGACCTGTATTTTATCCAGGACTCCGGTGCTGTCCATCCGGCTGGCCACATTAACCGTGTTTCCCCAGATGTCATACTGAGGTTTATGAGCGCCGATGACGCCTGCGATCACAGGACCGTGATTTATCCCTGAACACAACACAACACAACACCAAACGCAAGTCAGAGTTTTTTACAATGTTTACAATGTTTTCAAGTCTCTTCTGCACACTGAGACTGCATTTATTGGATCAAAATTCCAGAAAATACACTAAAATAGTTTTACAAATTAAAATAACTGTTTTCTATGTGAATATCTGTTAGAAAGATCATGTGACACTGAAGACTGGAGTAATGATGCTGAAAATACAGCTGCACATCACAGAAATACATTACAGTTTAGCAGATATTCACATAGAAAACAGCTGTTTTAAATATTTCACAATTTTACTGTACTTTTGATCAAATAAATGATGCAGCCTCGGTGAGCATGAGTTTGATTCTCTCTCTCTCTCTCTCTCTCTCTCTATATATTATTTTCAGCATCATTACTCCAGTCTTCAGTGTCACATGATCTTCAGAAATCATTCTAATATGCTGATTTGCTGCTCAAGAAACATTTCTGATTATTATCAATGTTGAAAACAGTTGTGCTGCACAATATTTTTGTGGAAACTGTGATGCATTTTATTTTTCAGGATTCACAGATGAACAGAAAGTTCAAAAGAGCAGCGTTTATTTGAAATGGAAATCTTTTGTAACATTATGAACGTCTTTACTGTCACTTTTGATCAATTTAATGCATCCTTGATGAAAAAATATTAATTTAATGTTTCTCGAGCAGCAAATCAGCATATTATAATGATTTCTGAAGATCATGTGACACTGAAGACTGGAGTAATGATGCTGAAAATACAGCTGCGCATCACAGAAATACATTACAGTTTAGCAGATATTCACATAGAAAACAGCTGTTTTAAATATTTCACAATTTTACTGTACTTTTGATCAAATAAATGATGCAGCCTCGGTGAGCATGAGTTTGATTCTCTCTCTCTCTCTCTCTCTCTCTCTATATATATATATATACAGGTGCAACTTGAACTTTTCTGTTTTGCAAATCCTTTTTTGATCGATCTCAGGAGATATTCTAATATTTTGAGATACTGGATTTTTGACTTTCATGAGCTGTAAACTCTAATCATCAAAATTAAAACAAACAATAAAAGCTTTTGAAATGTTTTACTTTACATGTAATGAATCTAGAATATATGAAAGTTTCACTTTTTGAAATAAGTTACAAAAAAACTTTCTAATTTTTTGAGATGCACCTGTATATATACTGTATATAAATGAATGAATGATGTCTGTGTTGTACCGATCCTCAGTTGGAAGCTGTTGAAGGAGTGCATGTTGATGTTCTCCAGTCGCCCCATCAGAGCGATGGCGAAGTCCAGCATGCAGCGGACGTGACTGTAGGACATGTCGCAGGTCTGGTGAGAGGGTAAAATCAGATGAAAACTCACACAAATGCAGAGCATGTCCTGTAAAGCACACACACAGCAGCCGTACCCGTCTCTCCTCTGCTTTGGCAGCTTTGGTCAGTCCAGCCGCTGCCATGTAGGTGCTGCCGATGGTCTTGATCTTTTCCACGGCGCTGAACTTGGGCTTGTTTAGGAGCTGCGAGAGAAGATTAGGAGGCAGGTGGGTTAAAACGACCACAAACGGACGGACAAACAGACATCGGACGGACATCCACCTCGTCAAAGTCTGAAATGATCTCGTTGAGGAAGCGAAGGCACTCCAGGCCGTCGTTGTTGACGCTGCTCTCGTTGTAAAACTCCTTGAAGAAATGCGGCACGACACACACACACACACACACATCAGTACTATCACAGAAAACTAACTCACATCATATTCGATCTTATGTCTTGTATAGTCTGATATAGTGAGAATATGGAGGAAAAAACGACTTATTCAGAGACTCAAACTGAGCAAAAATCTGCAATTTGCTGCAGATGCTGATGTTTATATGATGAAATCAGTGAGATCTTTATAACAGTGCAGCAGATCGACAGAAGACGTGAGGAGATCGAGTGAAACAGGTTTAACAGCACATATAGAGGCCTTTATGTATCAAATATGCTACAGTAGTGCTATAGGGTTAACATCCGTCCATTCAGAGACGTTAATGAAGGATGTGAATATGCCTCTAGGTGGCGCAGCGGAGTCAAAGTGTTTGACCTGGTTCTGGATGTCTTTGCCGATGAAGAAGTCTGTGACGTGCTCCGGCAGAAGGTTCTGCAGCAGCAGTCTGTTGACGTTCTTGGTCGTCTCCATTTCCTCCGTCTCTTTATTAAAGCACTTCTCCAGCAGGAACTCCGTCCGAGAGCCCAACTCGTCCTGCATCATAGTAAACACTCAGATTACTCCAGTGACACGGCGTGAGGTCTGCTCAAGTGGGAGGCTTTTTCCTTTAGTTACTTCCAACAAAACACAAAGATGTGTGACCGAGAAGCTTTCCACAAAAATTATTTTGCAGTTTTGTTATTTTGAGGTATAAAACTAAAAACTTTTCAGTTTTACTTTAGTTTAGTTTCAGTTTTAGCGTTTACTTTAGCACATCAAGTTAAACTAAATGAAAATTAGAAATGTTGTCTTGGCGACTAGCTGAAACAAAATAATTTAATGTTTTTTATATATTTTATTTCAGTTAATGTTTAAATAAAAACGTTTTTGTGTTAGTTTCAGGTTTTTCTTTTAGGATAATGAAGTAAACAGCACTTAACTCATGTCAAATATTTATAATGTATGAATCAGTTGCTGTAACACCAATGATTCCCGACAGATGAAGGAAGCAGCAACATTCAAAGACAAAAGCTACTGCGTTTCGAGAAGTAGTTAGTCATCTGGAGCGGATTACTTTTTGTAAACTTCTCTATTACTGAATACATAATATCAAACAAAAATAGACTCATAACCAACTGTGTGTTCTCTCTCTCTCTCTGACACACACACACACACACACACAGAC